GAAGCTGAGCAATTGGATCTCTCATACATTGCTGGTTGTAATGTATCAGGTCATAGTGATTCTGGAAAATATTTACCCTTTTTTTATAAATATAAACATGCAGTTACCATACAATTCAATAATTTCACTCTTGGTCATTTATCCAGGGAAATGAATTTATGTTCACACAGAAACCTGCACATGAATGTTCATAACAGCTTTCTTTATAGCCAAAACTCAGAAATAACCTAGATGTCCTTCGATGGTAGAATAGTTAAACAAGCTGCAGTACATTCATACTGTGGAATACTATGCAACAATTTAAAAAGGACACATTATTGATACATCAACTAATTCAAGAGAATTATGCTGAGTGAAGAAAACCAATACCCAAAGGTTACATATTGTATGACTCCATTTATACAACATTCTTGAAATAACAAAATTATAGAAATGGAGAGTAAGATTAGTGGTGGTCAGAGACTAGGGATTCAGTGGGGAGGATGGGAAGAGGGTGTGTGTGGTTATAAAATGGCAACATGAGGGCTCTTCATGTTGATGGAACAGTTCTGTGTCTTGACTATGGCAGAGAGTGACCTGACCCATACATGTGATAAAACTGCATAGCACTAAACACGCACACACACACAAATATACACGAGTACAAGTAAAACTGTAAATCTGAATAAAATCTGTGGATTATATCAGCACCACCTTCCTGGTTTTGACATTGTACTATAGTTATGCAAGATGCTACTACTGGAGCTATAAGATGTGACATGGACCTTTCTGTACTGTTTTGCAACTTCCTCTGAAATCTATAATCATTTCAAAATAAAAACAAAAAAGTCACCCAGAGACTAGGAAGAAACTATGTTATTTCAGGCTCTAATTCCAGTTCTAAGGAAACCATTAGCTCTGAAATATCCAAAGTGACTCAAGCCCTGGCTGGAAGTGAAGCTTTAGCTATGAAGAAAGGTCACTATGGCTTATCTGTGATGACCTAAAATGTCATCTAGGAAGGGGATATTTGGCTATAAAAAGGGTTTTATTTCAGCTTTATTGTAAAGAATGAACATTGCTAAGGTTTTCAAATGGCTTGGCTATCCAGCTCTGGGCCATTGCTTACAGCAGCACCGGAGAGGACACATGCTCCAATACGGAGGGGTTACGTTCCACATACAACCCGATCTTTCGCTATGAGGCCCTTCAACTCTCCACATAGGAAATCATGCTTCCTTTTCATACTAAATTTATTTTTAAAACTACCAGTTGCTATTAAATATTACAGCTGTTCTCTGATATTAAGAGCATTCCACGCACAAACACCTAAACAAATCACCCGTAGTCTTTCAAGCAAGACTTCATCTATCTTCACAGACTTTCTGCCTGCAGTTTTTAGCCAAGGGTAATGGCTATGAGTGTGTTAGCGATTTTAAATTTTTTATTAATTATTTATTTTCTTGATTATAACCTTTTGTCTAAAATAAGAAATTTTTACCCCATAATTTAATTCAATTTTTAAACAAATAATTATTAATTATCTGTTTACTGTACTCTTTCTTTTGGGAATTAAGATACACAAAATAATATCTTCCATTTGTAACTGAAATTTTGGTAAAAGAAGATGGCAAAAGAAGTCGTATTTATTTCAGAATGACTGGAAACCCGAGCAGAAAGAAACCAGAATCTAGCTAATCTTAAAAGTAATTAGTTCCAACAATAAAACATAATACAGAATGCCAGAGCCTCAATCGAATAAAAAAGAATAAATTTAGCTTAGGACTTAATAATAAACTCCAGTTGTATTATTAAAATGCAAAATTTGAAAACCATCTTGCAAAGTGACGGAATGGGCTTTGTTAACAATTGAGTTGTTCAATTTGCCTTAAAACTGGAAACCTTTAGAAACCTCAGAGGTGACTTCCTGACCTTTACTGTATTACAAATAGGCCTGATGTTCAAGATCCACATCCATTATATGCTTGAATGAGCTCAGTATTTATTGTTCTTTCATATCATTAAAAGAGCTAAAAGGTTGGGGAAATGCATAATGCAAAGAAAGGTCAAGTGGTAATCATGGTGTGAAATGCTGTTACATGTGTAACTATAATAATTCTTTAGACTTTATGCTCCCTGGAGAGGAAGTTGTTCAAAATTGTTCACCTACAAAGGTTTATTTTGTGCTAAATATAGCTCAGCACTCTAAATGGTGGAATTAGCCTGACCTTTTGCTCCTCGGTGTCGGCGATGGCCTTTTCCCGGCTCACTTTCTCCGTCTGAAGCCCGATCTTTGAGATCAGAGCTTCAGCATCATGATTTCTCAGTTGCAACTCCGCTTCCTGAGAGGCAAGTCTGGCTTTTAGATCTCCCACCTAAAGGAAAAGTCATTATTCTGACGTAAAATGGCATTGGTAACAATAGATCCCAGATATAGCTTAATGTTGAATGGTTCAGGGATCCTTAACAATTTATATCTTGCGTCTGTTTCTCCCCTGATTTTACTAGAGTCTCAATTGCAAAAATGCAGCCCCCTTTTTTTTCCACATGAGAATGAACAGAATAATATTTTCCATTGGTTTTGTGGGAAATAGAATTATTGTGTCACTACCAGTACCAACTAGAAGTTTCTCTTTGCTACTCAATCTGTGCAGTCAGGGAAACATCAACAGAGGTCTCTTTGTAAGTACATGCCTTCCATGCCCCTCTGCCTTCCGGTCCTATGACTGCTGCTTGTACTATTATGGTATAAGCTAAGACTGAGTTTTTAGCCTTGCTATGAATCCAGGGTAACTTTCCACAGTGACATTTACTTTTCTGTTCTTTTTAGCCATGTGAAAGTAGTTCTACGTTAGGCCATAGTCAAAAGAATCATCCATTAGGAAAATGCAAATGAACCACTCTATCGCTATACACCTATAAGAATGGTTAAAATAAAAATTACTGATAACACCAAATTCCGGCAAGGAAGCTGAGCAATTGGATCTCTCATACATTGCTGGTTGTAATGTATCAGGTCATAGTGATTCTGGAAAATATTTACCCTTTTTTTATAAATATAAACATGCAGTTACCATACAATTCAATAATTTCACTCTTGGTCATTTATCCAGGGAAATGAATTTATGTTCACACAGAAACCTGCACATGAATGTTCATAACAGCTTTCTTTATAGCCAAAACTCAGAAATAACCTAGATGTCCTTCGATGGTAGAATAGTTAAACAAGCTGCAGTACATTCATACTGTGGAATACTATGCAACAATTTAAAAAGGACACATTATTGATACATCAACTAATTCAAGAGAATTATGCTGAGTGAAGAAAACCAATACCCAAAGGTTACATATTGTATGACTCCATTTATACAACATTCTTGAAATAACAAAATTATAGAAATGGAGAGTAAGATTAGTGGTGGTCAGAGACTAGGGATTCAGTGGGGAGGATGGGAAGAGGGTGTGTGTGGTTATAAAATGGCAACATGAGGGCTCTTCATGTTGATGGAACAGTTCTGTGTCTTGACTATGGCAGAGAGTGACCTGACCCATACATGTGATAAAACTGCATAGCACTAAACACGCACACACACACAAATATACACGAGTACAAGTAAAACTGTAAATCTGAATAAAGTCTGTGGATTATATCAGCACCACCTTCCTGGTTTTGACATTGTACTATAGTTATGCAAGATGCTACTACTGGAGCTATAAGATGTGACATGGACCTTTCTGTACTGTTTTGCAACTTCCTCTGAAATCTATAATCATTTCAAAATAAAAACAAAAAAGTCACCCAGAGACTAGGAAGAAACTATGTTATTTCAGGCTCTAATTCCAGTTCTAAGGAAACCATTAGCTCTGAAATATCCAAAGTGACTCAAGCCCTGGCTGGAAGTGAAGCTTTAGCTATGAAGAAAGGTCACTATGGCTTATCTGTGATGACCTAAAATGTCATCTAGGAAGGGGATATTTGGCTATAAAAAGGGTTTTATTTCAGCTTTATTGTAAAGAATGAACATTGCTAAGGTTTTCAAATGGCTTGGCTATCCAGCTCTGGGCCATTGCTTACAGCAGCATCGGAGAGGACACATGCTCCAATACGGAGGGGTTACGTTCCACATACAACCCGATCTTTCGCTATGAGGCCCTTCAACTCTCCACATAGGAAATCATGCTTCCTTTTCATACTAAATTTATTTTTAAAACTACCAGTTGCTATTAAATATTACAGCTGTTCTCTGATATTAAGAGCATTCCACGCACAAACACCTAAACAAATCACCCGTAGTCTTTCAAGCAAGACTTCATCTATCTTCACAGACTTTCTGCCTGCAGTTTTTAGCCAAGGGGGAGTAAGGAGACCCCAGCAGCCCTGGCCTTGCCAAACACAGTGAATCAGTGAATTGGCTTTCCCCATTCTCCCCTCCCCACCCCCTGACTCATCAATACACAACCAAGATGATTATTAAGAGACCACAGACTCTCTCCCCTTCTTGTTCCCTATGTCTGAGATGCTGGGACGGTCCCAGATGCCACCACACTTGCTTTTAGCTTTGTCACAACTCTTTTAATTTGGCAGCGGCATGTTTTTTCTTTGCCAAGGACTGCCCGCCAGTATTGACAGCTCAGTTTGGGTGACACCACTATCACTTCCTGGGGCAAGGTCAACAGGATCGGTTTGGGACATCACTGAAAGGGATGTAAGTCCTGTGACACAGTGCTCCCTGCTCATCTTCTTTTAGCTTAACAGGACTCCTACGAAAGTCATAAAGGGTCTTGATTTAAGTGAGATAGAAGAGGATAGACAGGTAGAGGGAAGAAAAAGAAAGGAGAGAGGCAAAGAGAGTAAGATAAGGTGAATATTAAAAGGAAGGGAAAAGACAGACATTCTTTGAAAGGGAGGGAGAAGATATACAAATATGGACATGCTTTTGCGGGCTTCCCAGCAACTGTTCTTTATATCACTTGATCCCAACTGTCCTGGAAACCTCCTCACTCAGGTTTCTCTTTCCCAGTCATGGTCCATCTACTCACCGAACACAGATCACAGTGTTTCACGTAACAGCCATTCCTGGTAAATAAAACCAAGGGGGAAAGAGGCAAGTGGTGTGGTGGCTTACAGGGTGACTGAAGGACTTGGCCAGAAAGCCCTTCCCAGTGAAAAGGAGTCACCGTATGCTCCCCCGCAGGGGCTTGGTTTATTTCTAGCCTAGGCACAGATGGGCTACCCCAAACTCTTGGGGAAAACACCGGCCGAATCCCTGGAAAAGCATATAAGAGTGTGACCTAATGACAATACTCTGAGAAGGCCACCAGCATTTCCGAGAATTTTGGTTTTTCCTCCAGCTCTAGGGCCCACTCTCCAAAGTCTCCATCGTCTTTCATTCGAATCTCTCATTACCAGTCACAAAGAGAACAGTATAGATGTGGGTTCAAACCCCAGCTTCACTGGCTCTCTAGCCTTCAACACTTTAAGCCTCATATATAAAAATACAGTAGTAACATCTGCTTCATAAAATCACTTGGTTTTTAACAATGGAAGAGAGGATATGCGTACAGACCTACACATGAGTAGCATCCTGTGCTAATTCTCTCCTCGTTTACTCCTGCAAGTTGGAGACAAAGTCCTTGGAGACAGCAGGGGCCTTATGACTGAGGACAAAGACAACCCTGGACACTTTATCTAAGAGAGCTGGGGACTAAAAGGAGCAGACTAGACAGCGAGGTGGCAGTGCTCTACTTTGGGACCTCACCACAGTCATCAGCCAGAAAATGATGCCCTCGTTGGAGGTTGAGAATCTGAGACCAAGAAGGATTCTGGTTCCATCCTAGGATGATAAAATTCCTCACAACAAGCCTCATGCACCAAAGAAGCCAGAGACAATAGAGGGGAAAGTGCTGTGTCTATTCGTTTCAACACTGCGACACGGCCTTGTGCAAGGCTGGGCCAAGACGACAAGGCATCTCCCCAAACCGGCTGGGACAGAGTAATTGGCCAATCCCTTTCTAGGCTTAGGAAAGCAGCAACAGTGTGGTCTCTGTGTCACCAAACTGTCAATTTTAGCAGTCAGCCTCTTATATAAATGGGTTCGGTAGTGCTTCAAAAGGAAATATATTTTTCTAGTAAAGAGCATAGATTATACTCAGTAATAACATCCTGGTCATACCTGAGAGGCCGTGGTCTGCAGCTTCTGAATGCCATTCACCAGGTGCTCTTTCTTCTGAGACACCTCATTTTGTTTCTTCTTCAACAAGTTCTTAAACAGTGATATTTGTTCTAGAAAACTCTTTGGGGTGGTATAGTTGTGTCTTCTCTCATTCTGGTAATACCTGGCACTCATTTTGTTTACACTGGTGTGAACATGTGCCATGAAAAGGCTGACAGACTCTTTGTGCAGTGGCTGAAAACATAAACATGGCAATCCATATGAAATCCTCTCAAGTTAAAAATACAATTAAAAAATAGAAGAAAAATCAACAAAACTATACCATATTTTTTTTTCCCTAAAAGACAGAACAAATTATAGTAGAACCTAGGAAAACTTACTTAATCTTTAAGAGATAGCCTCAGAATGAGAGAGATTACAATAAAGCATTCAGCCTTACTAACCCTCTTCTTGCCAAGCAGGACAAAGGATTTTTATGTGTTCTACATACCAAAGCCAAAGCCAACATGGAATACAAGCACTGCTCTTCACAGCTTGATTTTTATCTACCAAGGGTGCGAAAGAGAAAGTAGAGAAATCGAGTCACAATATCGTGATAAATATTTTTTGATGTTGCTTTCAAACTAAAGTTAGAGCAAGAGAGGCAACAACCCTGCAAAGTCACTGAAAAAAAAGCTGTAACTGAGAAATCCACAATTTTATGAGAACCTGTGTAACAAACTGTAGAGGTAGGGTATAAAAATCACTGCTTCTGGAAGAAAAATAGCAAGATCATTTCTATACTCATTTGGAAAAAAATAATCCACAAAAACAAACAACTCTCCTTTTAAGATCTACCGGAGAACCACTGTACCCCTCCGCCACCGCCCCCTCCCACCATACTTTCTTTCCGTTTTGTCCTCTGTGACTTCTGAAGTAGTTAACTTTTTAATTTGTGGAGTCACATCTCCCTCATTTTAATGATTATTTATTGCATTCTGTACAAGATGAACCAGGTTCAATTAATCAACGGAAGCCTAAAAATCAATTAATATGAATTAAATGAGCTACACCAACTCTTAGGAAAGTCACACATAATTTACCAAAGTGTTGTCAATAATGCTCAGACATCTTTAGGAAAATTGTGCACAAGTGGCTGGTGAAGCAGTTAAACGTTTCCAACCTGCATCATTAATATCGCAGCCAGAGGTGCGAGGAGAGACAGGCCGATTCTTGTTGGTGAAAAACAACTGCTCCTGTGCTACGTCTTTAAACACCTCGCTTTCCAACACATGACAAATTCCTGAGTGTGTTGAACAGAGGGACATATTGGGTTGTGCTGCATATTAAAAATCCATCTAAGTAACTGAAATAATGTGTTTTTAAAGCAAAAGGTAAATATAAAGTGATACAAGTTCTGAATAGTCTTTGTTTCTAGTAGACCCAAGACACATGTCTATTGCTGAATAGTGGGTTCAGAAAAAGAAAATTTATAAGGAAGTTTATATACACTTCATAGAAGTCATAGCCCCTCAGGGACTTTATTTTTAAAAGAGCCTGACTTTAATACAAACACGTGCAGAGATTCACTCCTGTCCTGTCTTGTATTCATGGGAACTAAAAATGCACACATACCTTTCCACAGTATAGATAAATACTTCCTTGGCCAAGTACAACTTCCTTACAGGGGGGGAAAAAAAACCAACCCTGGCCTCTGCCCAACCACGATCCTGATGGGGAGGCTCCTTGGAGGCACTGAAAGCTCTCTTTAACAACAGTTTCATTTGTAAATCGGCGATGGAAGAAGTGGTTTCCGGTAGAGCTGGAAGTGGCCCGAGACAACTTGTCTCAATGGGGCAAAATAACTATTGTTATCGGGCTTAACAAAATGGCACAGCATGGGAGACTCGCGGAGCCAGGGAGCAGCTGGTTGTAATTCACACTGTTTTTCAGAAAACTCTAATCGTTCCAGAACAGACCTCTTTGATGACTGGTCTTCCCTGCATTCTCAATTTGTCACTTTCTCTTATGATAAGGTCAGTAGTGACAGCACTTCCTGACATTAACAGCTGTGGCTTTTAAAAGGGTCATTGTAGAACTACTAATTGCAGTAATTTCATTAGCATAAATTATTTATTCTGCCATTCATTTATCTCCAGTTTTCTTTGGGGCGGGGGTTAGTGGGGAGGAGAGGCTGCTAGTGCAGCGATGACAGAGCAATGTTGTGTTTCTCACTTTGAGAGACGTGAGGGAAGAACGTCATTCCTGCTACTTTTGGCCCCTTCATAAAAACCAGTTGATAACCGTTTTGTAGTCATTTGGCAGCCAATCACAGTGAAGGCAAAAATAAAAATAAGCAGAGTGCCGGTATCAAATGATTACAGACCCGCGGTTTCCCCACTAAGATGCTTTCGAAAGCAATGCTATCTCCAAAACGTAATCAAATGCAAAGATGAAACTGCTTTTCCTCGCATTAAGAAAAAGTGTTTAATTTCAACTCTCTCCGTTGGCTCACTGTAAACACAAAAACATAAACAAATCTCTGCTATTACGTGTGATAGTTCTTGGCAGTGGCAGTCTCTGCCACCCCAAAAGCTCTAGCCACCTGGCTTGTCAAGCCACGGGCTGAGTACACGCCCCTTGTTGAAAAGGCCAGACAGCAGAGTAGAATGTAAAGGCCAACACTAAGTCAAATACCTTGTTTTTGGGATTTCATACCTGCCTAAGGCCAGCAGGCTGTACTGGTCTATAATATCAAATCTGGACTTTCAAGAGTATTGTATTCAAGGGAGGAAAGATGGAAGGGCAAAAGAGAAACCTACAGATGAAAGAATCTATTTTCTCCTTTTTTCTTTTTTGGAAGTTTAACTTGCGGCAATTTTGTCACATCTCATAGACCTATAGTGAGTCTTGGAAGTTTTTCTCAGAAATTATTTCTGTGTTAATTTTTAAATATGCCAAACTGCTGAGCTATATGATCTATTATTTGTATTTTTGGGAAGGACTGGTAAAAGAGAATATATTAATTAGATATTTGTTGCTGGATGGTGGCTTATTAAATAAGGAAAACTTAATAATGTATAAGATAAGCAGTCTTGCATGTTAGCACCTGTCCTGAGAGCCTCATGGTGCTAATTCACTCTGAGAAGTTTCTGGAGGCAGCTAAGGATGCAGGGTTTGAACCCTAGGACTGGGTCAGATTTCCAGTTCTGAAAAACTGGGTAAGTTACTGAAGTCCCTCATACTTCCTCCTGCTCACAAAATTACTCCTTTTTATTCTGTTTCTTCTCTTTTACTGCTTTCAAAATAGTCAAACATTTGTGCAATAGTCAAGAGAGGGACTTAATAATATGGGTTCTGATGTCAAACTACACATGGGCCCCTGACCAGTGGTGTTGTCTTGTGCACAGGCCTCCATGTGTGGGTTGGTAGGGGCAATGGTGGTGGGGAAACCAGTGCTCCCTCTGCGTGAGGCTGGTGATTAGAGGTGGTAAGCAATGAAAATCCACACTAGGTACCGTGAGCATCCCTAATCTGAAAATCCAAAATCTAAGCTGTTCCAAAATCTGAAACTGTTTGAGTGCCAACATGACGCTGCAAGTGGAAAATTCCACATCTCACCTCATGTGATGGGTTGAGGTCAAAATGTGGTCAGAACTATACTTCACCTACAAAATTATTAAAAATATTTTATGAAATTACCTTTAGGCTATATGTATAACGTGTATTTGAAACATAAATGAATTTTCTGTTTAGACTTGGGTCCTGTCCCCAAGATATCTCATTATGTAAATGCAAATATTCCAAAATCCAAAAGAATCTGAAATCTGAAACACTTCTGATCCCAAGCAGTTTGAATAAGGGATACTCAACCTGTATTAGTTTTGCTATGGTGGTAGTTGTAGCACCAGCAGTAGTTACAGTGAGATTACTACCACTAGACCGTACAGCAACAAGTGTTAAAAATGCAGTACCAAACAGAGTTTTCTCAGTTGAATGCTGGTTTGTTACTTTGTCTAGTGAATGCATTTTATTATTAGTTAGCTTGTGTTTTTCTTTTTTTGTCTTTAATTCTGGAACTTGACTACAAGTCAAAGGCAAGACCAAGTCCAGGATAAGCCAACAAGCTTCCAGATGAGTGTGCAGTCACCGAAAAAAAATAGCTTTGTGTTTGGTGTAATATTTTAAAAATGAACCTGCAGACCACGGGAGAAACAAGCCTTTAAAGACAGCAGTAAAACAACTTTCTTATTTGATTGGACATTTCTCATGATCTATTTTGGGAAATGATAGTAAAACATGTCATTCATAGGCTATCGAACTCCACAAGTTCTGGATTAAAGAGTTGGTAGCGCAACTAATAAACTCATTTCACTGAAAAACCCGATGATATGGAGCTTGTGTCATTGCTTTCAGTGGCATCACATCAGAAGGGCAGAGGATTTTAACTCGCCAGCTGGTCAACATGCCTGAAAAAGATGGCCTCCTTCACGTTGCTCAGATTCTATACTGTCCGACGCAAATCTCACCCTTTCATCTGACAGCTATTTCATTTTCATTCAATAATTTCTCCTTTTATCTGGTCCTGCTTTCAAATATGTATATGGTTCATTTTTCCTTGAAAAGCAAAAACACTGCTTATCTTTTATCATTTTAGTTTCTCTTGCTTTTTTGCCTTGAATGCTCCTAACTGGAACCTATGCACAAATCAGTAGGTCTTCACCCAACTCTCTCTCCAACACACTTCCCATAGCATTTCCAACCCCATTCCCAAGGATACCCAGAGGACTTTTCCTTCTCTCCTTATACTGACTCCTCTCATGTCTAGTTGCAAATCTCCTGTGAAAAGTCGTGTGTGTTGACACAAAGTCTTCAGATAAATACCAGGTGATACTTAAGTGTCAAACTGTTTTGGTCATTTTTTGTCAGCTGTCATTTAGCTCAATATCAGGCAACAGAAAAATAGCACAAACATTTATTTAGATGTAGTCAACCCATACCCCTGGGTGCTGAGTGTGTACTGATGGAAAATTATATGTCAACACACATAAAACTGCTTGCCTTTAATGAATCCTTTCTCTGTGGCCAAAGGGGGTCACCTTGTATAAGTACCTTACACTCAGCAAATGAGGTTAATAATTAAGAAGTGCCTAAATTATGCTGATAACTTTCAGTCTGAATAGTGGAAATTAAAACTAAGAAAGTGATCAAATTAGTGCTCATTCACAAAATTTAAAAGCTGCTTTTGACCTCTGCAGAAAAGAGACCACATGTTTCTAGAAGAACATGGACACATTGCACTCTGAATTATAATTATTGCTCCTGAGCAACAAATTAGGAAGGTGGGAAAGTTAAATAAGCACCTTGCACTGAGATGAAATCATCTGGCTAATTTGTTTCGAGGCATAATTCAGCTGAACAGAAACGGTAAAGTGCTTTTAAAATTCCTATTTGGCGCTCGGCATCCTATAGGAGGCGTCATGATACCATCTCATAGAGTTTAGCACCTGAAAGAAGCCCTCTGGACTTAAAATGATGCAAGTCCTGCCTCAACCAGCAGATGTCAATGGTCACTGGCAATATCAAAACTCCTTCAGTGTCACTGTTTTCAGTTACCTCCGCAAGAGAAAGTCTGCAGAGTGGCAAAGGGCGAGAACTTAAAAAGGTACCGTGTCAAATGCTACCTAACTAAACCATGCTACTAGCTCTTGTAATATTTCCTACCAGTTGAGAAAGTAACATTCAGGAACAAAGTGTTTTCATTAAAGTCCTTTCTCTTCCTTACCAAACCAGTAGCTAAGTATCAAAAGACAGAAAAATACCCTGCAGAATTCCAGTAATGCAATGGAATTTGTGTTAATATGTATGCCCATTATTTGTCATATTTGATGGTGGTCCAGATTTTAAAGTATAAAATATTTCTGGCAGACTTAAGAAGTGATAATTTCTCATTTTCATTTATTTGTGGAAATGTTTTAAGTGTGTGTGAAGACAGAAGTAGTTGGATATTCTAAAGCCTCCACCCTCTACATATCTTCCAAGTTAGATGTTGCTTGACAGTTCTTCCCTAGCAAGCCAGTACCAAATAATTGGATTAACAGACATTTTAGCGAAAGACTGAAGGAAAAGAGATTTCCCTCTACAAATTCTGTAGGCATAAGCAAATACTTGACTGTGTGCTTACTTATATAGCTGCTTTTTTAAAAAGTAGAAGCAAAGGAAATATAGTATTATGAACAATAAAGCTAGTTGCATACCAAAAATTAATATGCAAATATGCCCAGATTTCGAACCATCTAGCCACCAAAAGATATAATATTCAACAAAAATATAAAAGGATTACTTTGGAAAGGTGGCAGTTATGCCTTTTGGAGTGAAGGAGGCTATGGTGGTTTGTTCCTGTTCATGACAAACTGTCAGCTAGGAACAGACATCATTCCTCAACTATCCCCTATTCTGTTTTTGGTTCTGAGAATCACTTTCAAGGTTTGACCTACTCTATGCACCTTTCACCTTATGCGATGGAATGAGAAGACAAAGTTCCCTGGGGAATGTTCACAATCACCACCTTTCCAAACTATGTAATCAGAAAGGCACTAGATACAAATAAAATTTCCTTTCCAGGAAATCTAAATGATAACTTCTTATTTAAGTGCTTTTACCCTTTGAATCTGAATGCTTGATGGTTTTTTTCGTTTCATGCAACTGTTTTAAAATGTAATAGGGAAGTACAAATTTCATCATGAAGAAATGACAAACATAACTCATAAAACATAAACCCATAAAATAAGCAGATGCACTATTTGACTTCGTGGTTGTACAATTTATGGAGGCTGATTTTTCACTTGTCAATACTGTTGAGATAATTACAATTAGTTGCTTTCCTTTGTTAAGAAGCAAGCATTGCATGGCTATGGGTGACTACCATCTTTGTTTGGGTTTTTAGTTGTGGACTTAAAGGATTTATTTTCAGTAAGCCCCATTATGTTTTAAGGAAGTAACGTTTCTGGCCTTCTGGTCAGTCAGCACATGAGTGAGAAAATGCTCAAGGGTTTTGTGTGTGCGTATGTACGTGTGCACATCCATCTCAACCTGGTGGGAAAAACGGTGAGCATCACAATCCATGGAATGTAAACTAACAGATCATTTTATTATCTGAAATAAATAAGGACGACTTTCCAACACGAGGTGTATTTTGGAAAGTACTCATCTACTGAGGAGCGTGTGTGTGTGTGTGTGTGTGTGTGTGCGTGTGTGACTCAGGCTGACACGGCATACCTCAATTCCCTCGGTTTCCTCAATGAACCTCCTGCTGACTGAGACCAGAGCCTCCTGTGGCCATGCATGAAACCAGTCAATAGCCGTGCAGTTAACTATGGCTGGGAACTTCCGAGCTCTGACTCTCAGCGTGTGACCAACTGGAGAGAAACACAAAATGATCTGTGGAGACATGGGGCAAACAGGAGGGTGATGAGTGAGCAGAGAATTACATTGCAATCTTAGACAATGAAAGAAAGGAGTGCAGCCAACCGTGACATTAAACGACCCTAAAGCACCACAGAGTGGACAGCAACATTAACCTCCTTGCTAATCAAAGTATAAACCTGTCCAAAGTGGCTGCTCCACCGGACACACAGAAACACTGCTGCGCGCGTCCCTTAAAATTTGTCCCTCTTCTCTTAAACGTTTTTTGATGATTATCGTCAAAAATAGTGGGAAATTTTACTCATTTCAATTGCACAAATAACACTGTAACAATAAAAAATAAAGATTAAAAGAAATCACTATGACACAATAATACCAATACTTCCATCATGTTTCCTTTCATTCTGTAATTCATCAGGCTCTATAAAACTGTGTAATAATATACTTTAAAAATGTTTTATCATATTGAACGCTTACTATTTATGTCTCCACTTAAAATAAAGTATCTGCTTGAGTTCTCACTTCAGATTTGTAAAGGAATAAAAAAATCAGGTTTAAACATTCTCCTGCTGAGAAAATTTTAAGTTTCTGCTGTAAATCTGAAGTTTTTGGTAGATATTTAATGATTTAAAAGTTAATTTAAACGTGAATATACTTCCATACTTTCTTCAGGGACACAAGGAATCCTGTCAGGAGTGTCTGAGTTTGGCTATGACTGTGCCACAGGAACTCAGCGAGAGAAACGCCTGAAGCCAAGTGGGCTGGAGCGGACCCCATTTCTGTTCCTTCCTGAGGGTCCTTGCTGTGCTTCCCTGAGCCTCAGAGGAGACACATGTGTAAAGTGCTAAAACAAAGGGGGTGTTCAGGGAGCCTCCTTTCTTCCTCTGCTTTCCTTCCCAAATCCCTGTGGACTTGAGGACACTGGAGGAGAAACGTCAGCTGGGGTAAGGTCTGACAGGGTGAGGCTTGGTTTCTTCTTCTCTAGAAATAGCTCAGACTTGAGGATATAAGACAAAGTTTTGCAGCTCTCTCTCTGTCCCTAATACTTCGAGATCAGGCAATGAATGAAATCGCTTTTCAAAGGATATGATTTTTTTTTAACTTATAGTGTTTTCAAAATCCATATCATAAAAAATTCCAGCATACCTGAACCCATATAATATCTCATTTCACAGGCATTTTACTATGTTTATTTTATATATCATGTGTATTCAACAACTCAAACTGTGTAAATACTAAGATCTAAATAAAATGTTTTCTTTTATTGTGACGAAAACACAGCCAGAGATCTACCCTCTTAACAAATTAATTGTAAGTACAGTATCGTTAACTACAAACACAATTTTGCACGGCAGATCTGTAGAACTTTTTCCATCTTGCATGCTGAAACGCTTTACCCATTCATTAAACAGCAACTCTCTATTTCTTCTTCTTTCCAGTCTCTGGCAGGCACCATTCTACTTTCTGTTTCTTCAAGCTCGACTACTCTAGATACCTCAGAGAAGTAGAATCATGCAGAAATTGTCCTTCTCTGACTAGCTTATATCACTTAGCATGATGTCCTCAATGTTTATTCTTGCTGTGGGATATGACAGGACTTCCTTCTTTTTATGGTTGAATAATATTCTATTCTGTATATATATATTACAATTGCTTTATACATTCGTTTGCTGATGAACATTTAGGTTGCTTCCATGTCTTGACTGTTGTAAATAATGCTGCAATGAACATAAGAATGCAGATATCACTTCAAGATCCCGATTTCAATTCCTTTGGACATACACCGAGAAGTGGGATTGCTGGATCTTATGGTAATTCTAAGTTTTTAAGAAACCCCCATACTGTTTTCCGCAGCAATTGCAGCATTTTACATTCTTACCAATAGTGTACAAGTGTTCCAGTTTCTCCACATTGTCACCAACACTTGTTATTTTCTTTTTTTTTATAATGACTATCCTAACAGATGCGAGGTAATACCTCACTGTGGTTTTGGTTTGTATTCCCAATTATTGACGTTGAGTATTTTTTCATATACCTGTTGGCCATTTGCATGTCTTCTTTAGAGAAATGTCCACTCAAGTCTTTTGCTCATGTTTAAATCAGGTTATGTTTTTGCTCTTGAATTACAGAAGTTTCTTATGTTTTTAAAATATTAATCCCTTATCAAATACATGGTTTGAAAATGTTTTCTCCCACTTGATAGGTTGCCTTTTAACTTGTTGATTGTTTCCTTTGCAGTGCCGATGTTTTTAGTTTGCTATAGTACCACATGTCTATTTTTGCTTTTTGTTTCCTGTGCTTTTGGTGTCATATCAAAGAAATCATTGCCAAGACCAATGTTATAAGATTTCCCCTGTGTTTTCTTCCAGCAGTGTTAGAGTTTTAGGTCTTACATTTAAGTCTTTAATCTGTTTTGAGTTGATTCTTCCATAGGTTGTCAGAGAAGGCCCAATTTCACTTTTTTGCATGGGTAAAATGTTTTTTAATGGTGCATAAATGGACTGATCATTTTTTTCATTATATTCAAGATTCTAGTTACAAACTGAGTAATTGCTCTAATAGTACATGTGTTAACAAGCCTCAGTTACAATGCATAATTTTCACTTATATCTCAGTTCTTAGATTTCTCTTACCAGCCTTCTTTTGTTTCCCAATATTTGAAAATTTCTCTTTTCTTTCCAAGAATTTGGTTCTCCACACCCAATTCATCTCTCATTTGTGCCAATTTTAGAAACTTCATTTACACATAATTGTAGCAAAGGCAGAGGGGAAAAAAGCATTCTTTATTTGAGATCCCAAATATTTCTATCACTTCTACACTTAATTTATTTCTACACTTGTAATTGGCATAATAGCAGGTCTTAAAAACGTGTTAGAAAATAATGTAGTTGAATCATGTTTGCTTATCTTCAGGAAAAAATGATTTCCCTGAGTTACTTTAATGATATGCCTTCATTATTTATTAAAAATGATAAAGAACGGTCATTTAAAGAACGATTTTTTCTTTTATAATTTTACGATTGAAGATATTTTCTCCTATGTTATTTATTATTGCTTAAATAAATATCTTCCAACGTTATTTAAAATTTCACATGGAAGGGGACAGCAGGAAGACCAGTGGTTCTCAAAGGACTGTCTGGAGCTGGTTAGAAATGTAGTCCCTGGACCCACTCCAGACATAAGAAACCAGAAACTCTGGGAAGAGGACTCAGCAATCTGTGCTTACAATGAGCCCTCTTAGGTCATTCTGATACCCACAGCCATAGCCTAACAGTTTTACATTTCCTATGGGTAAATGAAACATTTACTTTTTCAATGTTTTTGCAGTTCATGAAATGTAGGATCTAGGTCTCTACAAACAGAGTGCAATGGAAAAATTAGAGAATTTTACATAAATAAAATAATCACAAATAATCTAAATTTTATTGTCTAAACTAGACATTAAGAACTAAATTTTAGATCTTGATCCTTAGTAGTTCCTAAGAAGGGAAAGGGTCATATCACACTAGCCTTGAGGAGGGCAATTATCGACCCAATTCACTGCTCAATAATTTCTAGTTTTGCTAGAATCAAGCACATGGTAGAAGGAAGTCTCATGTGAGAATTTTCCAGAAACCCACGCTAATGTCTGGAAACCCTTGGTTATCCTGTTCTTTTCGAAAATAGTTTCCACAGCTTTACAAATAACCTGAAATAAACCCTGGTTGTCACAAGGAACATTATTGTGGGGTAAAAATCATCCTGAATAATTTTCCTATTATATTGCCCTTAATTTCATGAGAGATTAGCATAGCAAAGGATGTATAGAAAATAAAAAGACAAAATAAATAATTGAAAAAAGAGTGTTGTCTATAACTTCCCGCTAGTATGATATATAGGTGCATACTCATTTTATTTTACACTACGGGTGCTGTTGGTTAATATCTGCAGTGACCACCAGGGGCCACACAGGCTGGTTAACCAGCATTCCACAGACGCTAACAGAAGCCCATGGTGCAGAGTTAGCTACCGGAAGCTCTCGGCTAACTTCTTTTCTCATCAACCTAAATGGCTGATTGGGCGGCAGCATGGCTGGCAGACATGATTTTTCATTGACGAAATGAGCAGTGTTCAAGATATCTGAGGCAAAACAGAAAAAAAACGTATGTATACCTCCACTGCTGGAGGGGCAAAATTTAAAGATCTAGGTATCCTAGTAATTATATTCTTGGCAGTGGCTCTTTAGACTGGATCTTGACTAGTCCTGTGGTAAAACAGCTTACGGAAACAGTCTATCTTTCGATGTGATACCAATGAGAAGGTCAGCTGACTCCTTCCGTGGAAATATTGCCACACCTGCCCCAAAAGAAACTTCCAAATAAGAGCTAGTCAGGTCACCAAAAGGACAGAGCTGGGACAGCAACAAGTTTTCAGAGCAGTTCCTAAGGCTCATATGTGTAAGCCTCCTTGTTAATCAATACACTCTGTGTAGCAGGCCTCAGCCTGAAATTTCCTTTCCAAGATGCATATGTTGAGTTGGGGGTTTGGGGGAAGATCCCCTTCCTCACCTGAACAGGTGTCATCTACACCTTGAAGTATCTAAATTCACTAAACTATACTCTCAACCCCCAAAAGTTCCTGACAATTGCAAATGATCAAATTGGCTGAAGTGAGTTTCAAACAGTGGGGAGGGAAAGGAAAGTCAGTGAATAAAATAAAGTTAAAAACGCCTCCGGCAGCTGTGCTCTATTCTAAAAGCAAATTCTCACAAGTAAAAAGCAAACCCTGAAATCACCATCTATGTACTTCCTGCAGCTCTAACATTTGGGTGTCAGGAACTTGCTTTTGGAATCCATACCATAGAATTTTCTATTCTTTTTTTTTTCTTTTCCCCACACAGGTGTTATGACTCATTTGCAAGAATCCACTTTTCACTGCGTTTCATAATATGTTTCAATTTCCTTTACATAAGGTCCCACGGTAAGTACATACCTATTTGTATGTCGCTAACGTGACTCAGTCTATTTCATCTTGTA